TTTTTTTTTTTTTTTTTTTTTGTAAATCAAGATATTCTTGACTGAAAATTAAAAACTAATCTATTGAAGTATTGAATTTTATCTAAGGATTTGATGTAAAAGTCTATTTTAAAAAAGAAATAAGACTTTAAGAAGAAGATAACTTGAATACCCCTAAATATTTTGGTTAAAAAACATATCGAAAAGTATTCTAAGTAACTCGAATTAATTCAATCTTGTAATTGTATTTTGACAACTTATGTTGCTCTTCGGTTACAAATAAAACTGGTGGAGTTTAACAACTTAGGAAAGCAATATATATTTATTCAAGGTAACATAATGATTCATTGTAGTGTGTATTATAACATGTGTCCAAGTAGTACATGAAGTAACAAGGGGGAAGAAAAACAACAATCCAATGCATACAATAGATGGAAGAACAAATGAAAATGAAAGATTAAAATAAATACTACACAACAAATGTATATGTAACATCATCACATATCTAATAACAGAAATGCCTCTAATGATCACTGGATGCTGGAACCAAACTCCAATAATAAGTGCTTATTGAACATTATAAATTCAGGAAGAGAAGAAAATCTTTCAGGGAGTGGTGGGTGGAGTTGGTGGAAGAGTGATCTGTGGAAGAGGTGAAATGGTAGGAAGAGGTGGGACAGATAAAGGTGGAAGAGTGATCTGTGGAGTTGGTGGAAGGGTGGGAAGTGGTGGAACAGATAAAGGTGGAAGAGTGATATGTGGAGTTGGCGGAAGAGTGGGAAGAGGTGGGACAGATAAAGGTGGCAAAGCTGGTTTAGGCACAATGGGAATGTTTGGAAAATTTGGTCTGGGAAGGCGAGTTGCTAGGCTCATGTTGATCATGCTCGAGAAGGTCAGAGCAAGAAGGAAAACTGTAAACAATGATTTGCTTGAGGCCATATCTGAATGGATTAACAAGATAATTTGCAATGTTTTGCTTTGAGATTGTGTGAGAAGCTCAAGGATAGTGCATGATCTTAAATAGTCATATAGGACTAGAGAGGTAGGTGATGGGACACTCGGCAAATTTGTATGGTTTCGGTTCAACTTTGTTGGAAGAACGAAGTAGATACCAATCTTTTTCGATGGTTTACCTTCATGAGTAAATCATTTTATTATAATTGGACCAACAAGATTTTTTTTCTCTTTCTAATATTAAATTAAAGCCCTCAATTAATATTTAAATGTTAGATGACCACTTTGTATTTTATATGTAATATTGAGATATATACACAATTTTTTTTTGTCTATAGACATAATTTATGTAATATCCTAAAATTGATAATCAAAATTAATTTGTATTTATTGAATGTAATTTTTATTGACTAGATATTATTTATATATTGACGAGAATGAAATCTAGAAGCTCCAATTATCACGGTATGATGGTTTTATTTATAATATTTTTTTTATCCGGGAAGAATTGGAAAGAAAGAGAAAAATTCAAGAGTTTAGTTGGTTCACCCTTAACGACCAATAATCTTTCAGTCACATTTTATGCAAACAAGTATTACTACCATTTGAGGAATTGATCGTGAATGACTCAAAATCCATTTCACCACCATATTATATGAAATTATTTTTGTAATTTTCATGGCTGTGGGAAATGCTTTAGGCAAATTGTTATCATACAAGTTGCACCATTTTCAATTTATCAGCGTGCCTATGGTAGATTTGAAATAGTGGCAATTTTTAAAATTTTGTTTGTATTATTTTTTTGTTGAAAAGAGCTCTAGTATCGGAGATCGTCATCGGAGAACTCTTAGCGATTTAGTACTAAAAGAATCTAATAACAATCTTGGTCTAGGACATTGATAAGTATAACCTAATCTTTTCTAAACCTAATTACCCTTTATATATAGGTATGACGTTATAGACACAAATCTCACGCTTATTACAACGATTCAGTAGATTGCACCATATTATTATTATATCATTAGTAGGTCCATGATCCCAACATTTATGGTCGTTATTTTGATCATTTCAAGAATCATCACGAGATCTTATTATAGACTATTAAGAGGGAGGAACTGGGTTGCCCGATACCCAAGCCTAACTACATGATTGAGAGACTTCTTGACACAAAGGAGACTAATTATGTCCACATGTGTGTTCGTGTTGATGTTAAGCAACTAACTGTTTGAGAGAGGGGTACCATCGTCCTATGGATGAGCCTCCTAGTGATCGCTTTGAGAGATCACCTTAGTACATAACAATCCATGTTGGAACACTAAAGCGCATAATCTATGCTCTTATTAGATCGGTATTTTGATGATGCATTTTGGGTTGGTCAGAAGAAGATTGTTATAGTCTATGTTCTCGTTGAATGGACATTTTGATGATGCACCTAGGATTGATTAGAAGGAGACTATTACAACCTATGTTCTCGTTGAATCAACATTTTGACGAAGCACTTTGAATTGACTAAAAGAAGACTACTATGATTTATGTTCTCGTTGGATTAATATTTTGATGATGCGATTTCAAGTTAGTCATCGAGAGATTATCATAATACAGAGTCTTTCATATTCAAACATGAGAGTGTGAAAATAGTATGTTTATTTAAAATTTTAACAATGTGAATTGGATCTGTCCTCGAGACAACACCATGTTACAGAAAGTTTTGAAACTTGATTAGTATTAAGTGACATGGTTAATATGTGATTTGATATGTTTAATTGTTTAGTAGTATGAATTCAAATGGTTTACTGTAATTTTAGCTGGGGGTTCAGTTTATCTGAATGTGCGTCTCGACTTTGTGATACATGGTTTTGCTTTGTGCCTAAGATTGTTGTGTTGCTGAATTTTCAGCTTTTATTTTCGTGCATTGTTTTTTCTGTTTCTTTCTTGTCAGTTTCTTGAGAAATGAAAAATTGTTGAATGTGCAAAATCTCAACAAAGGAGTTGTTGATCGGATTTATTGTTAGATTGTTAGTTTTGGATTAAAATAATTTTTTATTTCTTATAATTTAAAATAAATATTTTTAATTTTTATATTTATCTGTTGCTCGTCTATTATGGCTTCAGGTAAAAATCATAAGCGTGGTCGATAAGAAACTTCTTGATCGGCCCCACGGTGGGCGCCAAATGTTCTTACCTGAGATCGATGAGTGAGATGATCTTTGGTAAGATCGGTGAGCCTCCTCTGCTTGGTATGTCTGCTACTCCGAGATGGGGTTGGTACCTGCAAAAGAGACTCCAATGCATAAGTTAGTTTATGATCGTATGAGTGTCTCTTATATATAATGCACATACCTTGATATGTGATTAGGGTTTCCTCTTGGGCGAGGGTAAGATAGATTTGGGCTTGAGATTGGTCGTGGCCCAATAGGCATTGGGCCCTTGTTTTGACCGATGTCATGTGGCGCCTATCCGAGATGGTGCAGCGCTAGGACACCGAGCTTGAGCTCGGTGTCCGACGTGGATAGTACAATATCGACTTTAATAATTCTGTTATCCTAAGCTTATAGAACATGCATATGTCTGCACATGAGCATGTCTCGTATTGGATATAAACATGAGTGTTAAATAAAAACAAAGCTAAAATGAAAAAAAAAAATTGGAATGAATTAACTTGAGAAGCTTCCGGAAGAATTTATGTTTTGCTTACCATGTCATAATTGCATGCATGTAACATTTTTTTCCACTACACTGAAATCCATTCACTATATTTTTCATATGAAGTATTTAAGGCATGCATCAAGCAGCACCAATATTGGAGTTCAGAGTCATCATCATCGTGTGTTTCACAACATACTACCCATCTCCCCCTTTGCCTAACCTATTTTGACCAGCCGAACTCAATGAACTTCATGAAACCAAGTTCCTTTCCCTAATTTTTTCAAAGGCTTCCCCAATTTAAAAAAAAAAAAAAAGAATCACAGCAACTTACATAAAGTCTTCAAGGCTGCTGCTTATGATTTATGACTTTGGTTTGTGTCTGTAGTTTTCACATTTCATTTTGAAATGAATTTTGCAGAGGCTTAGTCACCTTAGTGGAGGAACCCTCATTTGGCAGATAAGAATTTTATTTTCCCTGCTAGAATCAGTAGAATATAAAAAAAAAAAAAAAAACATCCAAAAGGGAGAGGTGTCTCCATGATGCCGTCGACAAAGGGGTGACGGCGGATGCTCGCCCTGTGTCCTGGAGCCTGGATCGGTGCGTTGCTGACTACATGGTCTGATCGATACGTTGGTACGTTTGACCGAAGTAGACCTATGGGTCATCACCCTAGGCGCAGTCGGTGGCGGGGAAATCGAGTGCCCTTCTTCCTTGTTTTGATTGCTTGGTTGAGGGGGCTAATATGGGGGGCGCTGAGGAAGCTGGGCGCGGATGCGCTCGTTCTCAGCTTGTAGCACCGCTAGATTGGCCTCGTGCTGGGCGCGCATGCTCTCCAGGTCAGCGGTGTGTTGTTGTCGCATTTGATCGACTTGCTCGATCAGCCGTCTCAATGTTGCTTCTCCTTCCATTCTTGTTGCGTTATCTTGTTCGTCTGTTGCTCGTCTATTATGGCTTCAGGTAAAAATCATAAGCGTGGTCGATAAGAAACTTCTTGATCGGCCCCACGGTGGGCGCCAAATGTTCTTACCTGAGATCGATGAGTGAGATGATCTTTGGTAAGATCGGTGAGCCTCCTCTGCTTGGTATGTCTGCTACTCCGAGATGGGGTTGGTACCTGCAAAAGAGACTCCAATGCATAAGTTAGGAATTCTATTTAGAATGACATGATATTACAAAAAATTATTATTATTTATACATACATTATTTTTTTTATATTTTTTTTTATATTTGACTCTTTTTAAATTTGAATGTATGAAAAAAATCTTGAATTCTTATCTTATGTAAAAAATTTATGAAATTCTGCAAAGTTCACAAAGTCTCGTAGAATCCATTAAAATTCTAACTTAAAAGTCTTGCATAATCCATTAAAATCCTGATTGAAAGTCTTGTAGAATCCTACAAAATCTTAAAAGTCATGAAAATCTTGCAAACTCTTTTAAAATCCACGGGACTTTTTTCAACTGAAAAAGTCCTTTAAAATCCTAATCCAATACACCCCCTAAGATTCAAGTAAATAATCTTTTAAAAAGTTCATAATTAAAGATAATATATCCAGATAAATATTTTTTATAATTAAATTATAAAATAGTCTATTTAAACATTTTATCAAATTAATAAATTGATAATTAAGAGTATATATATATATATATTTATATATATGAAGTTTATTCAATGAGAACATGTTGCGAGACCTAATTCCTCTAAAGTGATGAGGAAATTGCATCTTAGAAAATAAAGTGTAATAATAATAATTTTTAAAAAATCAACGGTTGATATAATTAATTTTAAATTTTATCTTGCAAGAATTTTATATATATATATATTCATTATTTACAAATATGTAACCATTTTACAATTTAATTGTCGAGAGGTTTGCCAATTTTTTTTTTATTGTTTAAAATTAATATTAATAAAAAGTTTAGTATTTTTCTTATTAATGAGCATAAATGTCAATTAATAATAATTATTAGGTTTTGACTAAGCAACTTTTTAATAATGATTTATAATTAATATTAATATCAATATTAATTACTATAATATTTATTATTTTTTTGAAATGGAGAATTTAATCAAATTAAATTTTTTAAATAGTAAATTAATGATGAAATGTTTTAATCTACAATTAATATCAATTAATATTACTTTATTTTTATTTATAATTAAAATTAATTTGTTTGTAACTAAAAATTTAACAAAATTTAATCTCTTTATTAATAAAATCATTCATTCATATATAATTACCTATTAAATGTAATTTTAAATTATCATACATTATCGTTTTGACAAAAAAAATGTTTTTATTTTTTGTATTTTATTTTTTTATAAAGAAATATTTTATTAAATTTAATCTCTTAATTGTTAATTAATATGATTATTTATATAATTATTAATTTACTAATTAAATACAATTTGAAGCTATATAGAAGGACAATAAAAATAATATTATAGATAAAATGTGTGACAAATTGAAAATAGTGAAAAAAATAAAGAGGATAGGAAATAAATTAGATAAGATGTAAATATGCAATATAGAGAGAGTTGAGAAGGAAAAAGGAAGAAAAAGTAGTTCGTTTCATTTTTGACAAAGATTGTCTTGTGAAATGAAAAATAAACAAAGAGGGTGACAGATGAATTAGATAGAACGTAAATATGTAATATAAAAAGTAGATGAGAAAAAAGGAAGAACAAGTAATACATTTCATTTCTGACAAAAATTGTCATGTGAGATAAAAATTAAACAAAGAAGAGATAGATTAGATAGAATATATATATATATATATATAATATAATATAATATAATATAATATAATATAATATAATATAAAGGATAGAGGAGAAAAAAAGAAAAAAAATAGTACGTTTCATTTTTGACAAAGATTGTCATGTGAAATTAAAAATAAACAAAGAGGGTGACAAATAGGTTATATAGAACGTAAATATGTAATATAAAAGGTAGAGGAGAAAAAAAGAAGAAAAATAGTAAATTTTATTTTTGACAAAGATTATCTTGTGAAATGAGAAATAAACAAAGAGGGTGACAGAAAAATTACATAGAACGTAAATATGTAATATAAAAGATAGGAGAAAAAAAGGAAGGAAAATTAGTACATTTCATTTCTGACAAAGATTGTCGAGATGAAAATTAAACAAAGAAGAGATAGATTATTAGATAGAACATAAATATATAATATAAATGATAAAGGAGAAAAAAAAGGAAGAGAGAAAAAAGTAGTACCATGATGAAATAAAAATTAGATAGTAGAGAAATGAGAGGAGAAAAAAAGGAAGATAGAAAATAGTAGTACCTTTTTGATGACAATGATGGTGAAATAAAAATTAGACAATATAAATTAAATAGAACATAAATATATAAATAAAAGATATAAGAGAAAAAGAAAAGGAAGAGAGAAAAAGGTAGTACATACCATGGTGAAATAAAAATTAGACAATAGAGAAATGAGAGAAGACAAAAAAGGAAGATAGAAAATAATAGTACCTTTTTGATGACGATGATGATGAAATAAAAATTACATAATAGAGGAATAAGAGTTATATTAAATAGAATGTGAAGAGATGTAATATATAGAAAGTAAAGGAAAAAATATGACAAAAAATAGAAGTTTAGAGAATTTGATGACGATGATGATGAAATAAAAATTAGACAATAGAGAAATGAGAGTTATATTAAATAGAATGTGGAGAGATGTAATATATATAAAGTAAAGGGAATATATGATAGAAAATAGAAGTTTAAAGAATTTGCTACATAGACAAATATGCTGACATGACAATGTAAAATTAGTTTTATAATAATATGCTAACATAATAGAGTGTAATTCAACTTTTATATATAAATAGATAGATATATATCTTTTTAGTATATATATTTATTTAACATTTTTAATTATTTTTCTTTTTATCGTTAATTTTTTTTATAACATTATCTCTTTTGTTTTAATAGAGATTTAATTTTATGAATATAAAAAAAAAGGTGTTTTAACAATAGATATTATAGGTAGAGGTAAAAAAATATGATATAAAGCTTAGAAAAACTTAATTTAGGTAACTTTAACAAAATAATTTTGGATACCAAAGTTAAATTAATATATGTGACACGTTAATATAAAAAAGACAATGCTAAAAAAATTAACAGAAAAGCTAAAAAAATTAAAATGTTGCAAATATGTAAACCAATGAAGGAGAAGAAAGAAAAAAAAGGATAAATTGGGAACGGTGAATGTAAAAAGAATTAAAAAAAATCTCAACCATTCAATTAAAATAGTCTATAATAATTAAAGAGTTGGACACAAGTGATTAATATGCTGAACCTCAATGTCGAATTATTTAGATAGTGCAAGTTTGATCTTTGGTAAAAACAATCCTTAGTTAGACTTTACTTATCTCTTAGTTGAATCAAATTAGTCTAAGGTAAAATCTTAAAACACTATATTTAAGTATATATATATATATATATATATATATATTATTTAAAATTAGTATACACAAATATTTTTAAACATATACATTATATTTTAGATTTTTAATAAATAATTTGTATTATAACAAAAAATTTATTATTAGTTTTTGATAATTATTTTAAAATATTAATATTTAATTCATAATATAATTATGATAAATAAAAATTAAATTAGATAAAAAATTAAAAATTTTTATACAAACCCTCTCGTTGAAGAAAAACCCCTAAAAACATTGTCATGCAAGATAAATGTTCATGTTTAATATATAAGAGTTGATATATTATAAAAATCTTAAGATTTAATTTATAAATAAATATAATAAATAAAAAGTTATAGGAATTTTTAGAAACACTCTCATTAAAGAAAAGTTCTTAAAATTATTCTTATGTGAAATAATCATTCACATTTAATATATAAGAATTTAGAATTAATATATTAATAATATAAAATATTTTTATACTTTAACTAATTATGGACATTTATATTATTGAAATTATTAAATTTATAATAATTATTCTAAATACATACTTAAAAATATATCACTATTAATTAACACAAGTGATTATACTCGTGTCTCTAAAAAAAAAATCGTTTAAGATTTAAATATTAATCTTAAATATAAAATAAACTACGTTAAAAAATATTTAACTTGTGTATTCATGCTCCCTAATAAAATAAGCTAAGAAAAAAATATATTGAAAATATGAGCACAAAATAGTTGTATTTTCTTTATTATTAATTTAGAATATTAGTATAGATAAGAGAAGCCTTCCTCTACATGCCTAATTTCCTACTTGGCCTAATATTTGGAAGTTTTAACCATTTTTTTAAGTCCCTCACTTAGCATTGATGTATGTGAATATTTGAATTTCTTAACAATTTTTCTTGCACAAATTTAATCCTTAAAATTTTAATTATTATAATTTAGTCCATTATCGTTCCTCCATTAATTCCTTTTATAAAAAAAACTCTCAACTTCTCAATCTCAAGACTTTATTGAATCAATTAAATCAGTTTAAACTACTTTATTTTTTTTCCTCTCAAATTCACCGATCAAAATATTATATTCCATCCGAAGTTTAAAATTTCGAATTTTCTCCTTCAAAATTTTAACCTCCATCTTCTATATTTGATCAAATTTTTAACTTCTCAATCTTTTAAATCATTTTGTGTATCAAATTTGTCCTAAATTTCTATTTTTTTTTGGTTAAAAAAAGACTCAAGAGGTTTATATAAAAAGAAAATTTATGGAAATTTTAATTCTATTAATTTAAAAATTGAGATATTAAATTTATATAAAATGATAAAAAATATAAATTTTACATAAATTGTACAAATGTAATGACATAAAGTACTTATTTGAATATCGTGTGCTTGTCTCATTGGTGACTAAAGGTTTTAAATATTATTGTGGTGACAAATAATTTCATTAAATTAAATTAAATTAAATTTTTGGAAAACATTAACACAATCCACAAACACCACACTTTACATAAGATAATTATGTGAAGCAGAAGAGTTTTTTTTATATTTTTTTTATTATTATTAAATCAGGATATTTCTAACTGAAAATTAAGAACTATGAAGGTACTAAATTTCATTTAAAAGTTTGACGTAAAAGTCTATTAGAAGAAGAATTAAAAAAAAAGACTTTAAATATAGTAGTTAGCGTAAATACCATTAAATACTTTAGTTAAAGAACTTATCCAAAAGTATTATAAGTGTCTCATTATCTCATATCAATTCAACCTTGTATATTTTGTTTGCTAGCTCTTCAATTACAAATACTCAATAATTGGTGGAGTTTAAAAACAACTTAGAAAAACATATATTATTTATTCAATTTATTATGGCGCCATTGGCGCGTATCTTGTAACAACAGGTGTCCAAGAACATGAAGTAACAACGGGGAAGAAAAAAAAATTCAACGCATACAAATACAATAGATGGAAGAACAAACGAAAATGAAAGGTTGAAATAAATACTACACAACAAGTGAATAATATAACACCATCACATGTCTAATAACACGAAATACAGCTAATGATCACTGGAAGCTGGAACCAAACTCCAATGCTAAGTGCTTATTCAACATTATTGATACAGGAAGAGTAGAAAATCATTCAGGGAGTGGTGGGTGGCGTTGGTGGGAGAGTAATCTGTGGAAGAGGTGAAATGGTAGGAAGAGGTGGCACAGATAAAGGCGGAAGAGTGATCTGTGGAGTTGGTGGAAGAGTGGGAAGAGGTGGGACAGATAAGGGTGGAAGAGTGATCTGTGGAGTTGGTGGAAGAGTGGGAAGAGGTGGGACTGATAAAGGTGGAAGAGTGATATGTGGAATTGGCGGAAGAGTGGGAAGAGGTGGGACAGATAAAGGTGGCAATGTTGGTTTATAAGGCTGTATTGGCAAAGGTGGCAAAGCTGGTTTAGGCACAGTGGGAATGTTTGAAAAATTTGGTCTGGGAAGGCGAGTTGCTAGGCTCATGTTTGTCATGCTCGAGAAGGTCAGAGCAAGAAGGAAAACTGTGAAGAATGATTTGCTTGAGGCCATATCTGAATGGATTAACAAGAGAATTTGCAATGTTTTGCTTTGAGATTGTGTGAGAAGCTCAAGGATAGTGCATGATCTTAAATAGCCATATAGGACTAGAGAGGTAGGTGATGAGACACTCAGCAAACTTGTATGGTTTCAGTTCAACTTTGTTGGGGAGCACAAAGTAGATACCAATCTTTTTCGTTTGTTTGCCTTCATGAATAATTCATTTTATTATATTGGACTAATAAGGTTTTTGCCTAATATTAAATTAAATCCCCCAATAAATATTAAAACGTTGGATGACTAGCTCATATTTTAGATGTAACAAAGAGAAATGTATCCTTTATGGCCAATTACCTTTCACAGTCACATTTTATGCAAACAAATATCACTATCTCTTAAGGCTTTGATCGTCATGAGATTATTTTTGTAATTTTCATGGTTGTGGAAACGCTTCTGGCGTAATTTTATTGTATAAGTTGCTGGCAGTTTTTAGAGTCTTGTTTGTATTTGGTTTTGTTGGAAAGTTGAGACTTGATTTGTATTTTAAGTGGCATGGTTGATATGTGATTTGATATGTTTAATTGTGCATTCAAATCGTTTACTGTAATTATAGCTGGGGGCCAGTTTATCTGAATGTGCGTCTTGATTTTGTGATACATGATTTTGATTTGCATGCACCCGAGATTACTGTGTTACTGAATTTTCAGCTTTTATTTCCATGCATCATTTTTCCTGTTTCTTTTGTCATCATTTCCTTGTCAAACTCTCCAGAAATAAAAATTTGTTGAATATGGAAAATCTCAAGAAAAGCAGTTGCAAAATAAAGGAATTTTAGATTAATTAGAACCATGGTTAAACCCGTTGTTACTGAAGAAGCTTTTTTGTGGTGCGGTATTTGGGTGAAATATCTATTAGGAATGAAATATCTTAAGAAATTGATTTGGAACTTAATTTAATTTTATAAAATTTACTTGTAAGGTTAAGACTGTCTCTCACATATAAATTATTTGTTTTATCTTTAGGCACGTGGAATTTAAATTATTTCCTAATATTATGGACAGTCGATCTATTGGTGACATCTTTGCTCATTATATTGTAGCCTCTCATCAGAAATTTTTCTTAATTTTGTTTCCTGAAACCACTCACTTCTTTGCCTAGAAGCAATGGTTCATCTTACTTGTCCACATAAGCGACTCGCATCTGCCATCTTGGCATTAGAGATTTAAGACAAAATGGGAACTGGAATTATCTCAATGAAAATTTCTACCTTGATCACAGAGAATACAAGGCAACCTATTATGAATATGACCCCTTACATAGACACAACAAAAGAAGCCCAAACATGTATGGAGTATACCACTTGACTTTGTGTCCTTAAAGACTAAGTTGATTAATTGATTATTAATTTAGAAAAGTAAGAAATATATATCTACGATATATTTATAGGTGTTTATTGTTTGATTTATTAAACAAAGTTTAAAATTGATAAAAACATAAAGTGACAAACATGCAAATAAGTATTAGAGTAATTTATATATCACATATGTTTGATATTGAATTTACTTTTTATATTTAGTGAACTTGAAATTATATATATGTTAATTACTCTATTATTTTAATTAGATTAAATTCACGTAATACTAATTTCTTGATAATGAGATTCTAGGATTTCTTTATTAAATACTAATTTCTTGCATATTCAAAAGAGAAACTTACATTAAGAAAGATTTTTTTAAAACTTGCATTTCAAATCTAGATTTAAAAAAAAACATTTTTTTTTATCAAATTTTAAATCTAAAATTAATTTATAAATGATCAAAACATAAATGCTTTAAAAATATAAATAAAACCACAACATAGTAAAGAGATCGTAACATATATAAAGAACAAGAATTACATAAATATAATATGTTATTTTAAATTTCAAAAGAAGATTAGTCCCTCATTTTAACGAGAACAAACTCTCAAAAGAGAAAAAAAAGATGAAAAATCTACGAGAAATGTCATCATTTTGTCCTCGACTTGTCAGAATTGTCTCTAGAGTCTTCAACTTGAATGAAATTTACTGATAGAGAAAAAGTGACAAGAATGATAAAAAAAAATCTAAAAAATCTATGAATTTTAAACATTTAAATATATAATTATTATTTTCAAAAATAGAACATACCATCATAGATTTGTTAAAGCCTTAATGAATTTGCTTGAGGCAAAAAGAGTCCTTTAGGGTGAAGAAATTAAATTCGCTCAAGCCTCAACGAAATTGCTTGAACTAAAATTTGACGAAAAGCAATTGAGATTTTGCCTCAAATTCACTCGAATTTTGGTACAAGGCTTCAGCGAATTTGAGACAAAGACTTCATTTTCATTTTTGTAAATTTGCTTAAGCTTTGGATCCAAGGCTTCAACTAATTTTTTATTGTTTTATTTTTATTTCCTTTCTTTTAAATTTGCTTAAGTCACCAATTCTCTTCATTCATTTTTTCTCTATTTGTCCCACAATGAATCACCGAACCTGCACTCAGGAATAGTAAGCAATAAAAAATAATAGGTTAAAACCCTTATTTGGTCCTTGATAATATTTTTTTGTTTCAATTTAGTTCCACTTTAATTTTTTGTCTCAATTTGGTCCCCAATAATTTAAATTATTACAATTTAGGACTTTCATCCAAATGATTTAAACGGAGTTAACTATTGGCCAGATGGATGCTAGGTGGATGCCACGTAGATGCATACGTGGATGCCAAATTCCATGAATACACCTGGAACCAGAACGACCCATTCTGAAACCAGAACGACCCGTTCTACATGCACATGTTATGTGTTAATTTTGCAATTGGAACGGGCCGTTCCAAATGCAAATTTAACACAATATGAGTGCAGCAGAACGAGCCGTTCTGAAACCAGAACAGGCCGTTCTGCTGTTAGAACGGGGCGTTCTGAATTTAGAACAGTCCGTTCCAAAACGCCAACTTCATGCTTTTATTATATTTTTTTTATTATATCTATATTAATAAAAATATAATAAATAAAAAATACAATAAATTAATATTCATTTATGAATAAAACTAAAAAAAAAAAGAATCAAAGAAAGATAAGACCTTCCAAAATCCTTCTTTGATTTGAACTTATCCAGTTCAAAATCTTGACTAAAATGCCGTAATATGATTCAAAAATTGATAATAAAAATTGATAATATATCATAAATTCAAAGACAGAAACATGGTTCAGAAACTGAAAATAAAAATTCAGAACATAACATATACTAAAAAAATTCAAAGAAATTACTGAGAAAGGAAATCATCTGAGTAACGCTGAAGAGAAACCCTAAACCACAAAAATTCAGGTTGTACCTCCTCAAGAACAAGTTGTTATTGTTGGGGTACATCGTCAATGACTTCAAGGGGAAACACCGTTTCGTTTCATCCTTGACTGTATAGCGTCAATTTGGTAGTAAGTGGTTCACTCTAGTTTGACTAACAATGAAATAAAACCTGCTACCATTATCCTTAATGATACACTGCATTGTCCTTAATGATACACTGTATAGCCCAAATGTTTAGCAATTGAAGTTATCAATCCCCATTGACAATATTACCAAATCTAGTGTTTGAAATGCTTTATACCTTGGGTGTTTTTGGGCAAGAAATTCTGGAACCAAAACGGCCCGTTCTGAAACCAGAACGGCCCGTTCTGGTTACACTATTGGTGTGTAAATTTTGTACTTGAAACGGATCGTTCTAGTTCCAGGTGTATTCAAGTATTTTGGGATCCACCTACATGGCATCTACGTGGCATCGTGACTACTAGTTAACTCTGTTTAAATCATTTAGACGGAAGTCCCAAATTGCAATAATTTAAATTATTAGAGACCAAATTGAAATAAAAAATTAAAGTGGTACTAAATTGAAACAAAAAAATATTATAAAGAACCAAATAAGAATTTTAACCAAAATAATATGATTATAATGGGATGGATTAAAATGAGATAAGTATAAATATATTATAGAATATGTTATAAAGGACAAATTTTAAAGAAAAAATATAATGGTTATATTCTCATTTACAGTAAAATAAATTAACTACTAAAACTCAATACAACATAATCACGCAAACCGCATGTTTGGGAGCATGGGCCTAGCTACCAAGGTGCTAGGGACTCTATCCCATCCCATGCAGCCATATACACATATCTGGGGTAGGCATGACAATCTAACCCGTCCTCGTGGATACTCGCCCGAACCCGCCTTGATTTAGACAGGGAAAACCCATGTTTATCGGGTTTAGGTTTTTCTTGATTGATAAAATCGGGAGCGAGGACAGGGACGGGAATGTTAATACCTACCATTTACGTCTTCAATCTAGATTATTATATTTATAGAGTTAATTATTTATACATTGTTAGTGTAAAAATTTTTTACACTGGCAACCAATTATATCTTTTAATTGTGTCATGTCACTGTAAATATATTTATTTTTAATAGTGACATGA